TGCAACACTACTTGTAAATGACTTTGAACAATTAATAAAAAGTTGTTGTTATATGCCCTCAAGTTGCCTGCGACTCATAGCAACCCATAGCGACCCCAACAGCTCTGAATCCTGGCTTGGGTTGAGCCAGTCTCACTGACTCCAACACATCTACCCCCATTGTATTTAAGGATTAAGTTAATTATATGAAAATATTGGTAACATTTTGTAACTCCACCTTCAGTGTTGCTGTAGCACAAATGCTATTATGTATAAGGCATTGGTTACAGTTGCTAGTTTAATTTTTTTTTTTTCTGACTCTTAAAAAGACTCTATGTCTCTGAGTTGTGGTGCTGGGAAAGAGTACTGAGCATAACATGGACTGCTAAGACACCAAAGAGTCTGCTAGAGAGCAAGGGACGTCATGCTTGGGAGGGTGAACCGACAGCGCAAGAGAGAAGATGAGATAGATTGACTCAATGATTGGGGTAATGGGGGTAGGTGTCACAGACAATGAAATTGGCTCAAGGCAGAGCAGGGTTCGCAGGGTCGCCGATTCGTAGGCGACCCGACTACATATAACAACATACTGCTATGTAAGCATACTCTTCTAACGCATACGCAAATTAGTGGATTTGACACAGGGTTAGTACTCAGAATGAATGCCTGTATTCAGCATCTATATTCGCAGGGCACCAAGTGAAATAAATTTAAAGCGGCCCTCGAGGGGGGTTTAATGTCTTTCAGCGTATTAATAACTAGCCAGCAGTTTCTCTTTAGTTCAAAGCCGCCCTCCGCTCGCGCATTATTTGAAATGCGCAGGCGCTGTCTCTTTAATATATAGTAGAACTCCGAGTGCATCGATCATAGACGGACTGCATTACTTTAAACTCACACGGATTTCGTTCCATTCAGAATACAAACTCCCTTCCGAATGTTTTATCAACTCTGTCTTTGCTGTGTGCTTGCACCTGCTCCCCGTGAGTTCCATCTTTCCGCCGGGCCGGTCCTGGGATTTCTCCGGCGCCGGCAGGGTCTCGGGGCTCTGCTTGCCATGTCTGGAGCGCGGGGTTTGACTGGGCCGCCGTTGTTGTAGTGACCGGGAGGCGCCGGCACTCTGGGCAGTCGGTTCCGGGCGCCGCACGGTCCCCCTTCCAGCCCAATCCCCTACCCTCCCCGTCCCGCCCTCCCATCCGCAGGATCCCGGCGCCGGCCGCCGCCCCTATGGCCTGCGCCCCGGTAAGGATGGATCGAGGGCATTTTCCTCGACGGGCTGAGGGGCCAGATCAGGGCGGCTCTGGCACCTGGACGGAGGTGGAGGCAGGTGTCTTTTCAGCCTGGCCCGAGCCTCTCCTCCTCCACCATCCAGGACAGGGGCGTTAAAGACGATCGGAGCCTCCAGCCCTGGTCGACCTCCTGGGCGCTCCCTCCTGCGTCCTGGTCGACCTCCTGGGCGCTCCCTCCCGCGTCCCAGAGCTCCGGACCGAGCCGGGCGACGCCGTGGCCCGCAGAATTCTCTTAAGGGTTTTCGAGACGTGCCTGCGTCAGAATCGCCTGGAAGGTTTTTGAAAAGACCGGGCGCCGGGGCCCCGCCCCGCACCTGCAGGCTGGGTGCCCGCGGGCGGGGCCCGGGCATGTGCATTTGAAACGGGTGGACTAGGTGGTCCTGGGGGCGCGCTCAGCCTGGGAAGCGCGGCGGAGGCTTAGTCTGCAGGCTCTGCGAGTGAAGCGGTCGGCAGGCGTCTCCATGCCCGGGGCGGCCTGCGACCCCGGGGCCCCCGCGGGCACTCCCGGCCACATAACCCTCCACCTTTCGGGCCGTTCCTGCTGGGCCCTGGGGTGAGGGACCCCGGGCCCCCTAAATTGGAGGTCTCCATCTGCTTGCAAACCCTGACCTCTTTCCTTCCCAGGAGGACCCTGTTCTGGAACGTTATTTTAAAGGCCACAAAGCTGCTATCACCTCGGTGGACTTTAGCCCCAATGGCAAACAACTGGGTAAGTTTCTGCTTTTTGTTTTGTCATCCGACAAGTTACCCGCCGGTGGGTAACTTTTGCTCCTGTCGAAGCTGAGTGCCCCGCCAGCCTGGCACAGTGGGCGCAGCTGGTGGGGATCTGCGGCTGCCTTGCCCTTGCTGGGGTCACTTGGATCCTCCTGGCCCCTTCTCTCCGCCCCCGTTTTCCATCTGGGCCCCACGAAGAGTCCCAGCTCCGCTGTATTCTAGCCAACGAACTTCGCGAAGTTGCCACCAGGAGGAGTGAGTGGGAAGGGGAGGGGTTTGTTCTGGGCCTCGGGAGGGTGGGGTGTTGGCTGGAGAGTTTGTGAAAAGTTGTGAGAAGAGCAGGAGGAAGTGGGGAGGAAAAAAAAAAGTTGGGGCTGTTGCCGGAGGTTCAGGACCGAGAGATCTCAGGTGACCCCAGTGTAGCCTCAGTGCCTGGAGGGGAGCAAAGAGAGAGGCTGGCTTGAAAGGAGGGACCTGCTGGGAAGTGGACCCGTACCTGGGCCGGGAACTCAAGCTTCGGGTCCCCCAGCCCTTCCCCTGCGTGGTGGCTCTCGTGGCCGCGTTTGCGCCCCAGCCGTGAGGATCCAAATGGCCGTGAGGTGGACCTGGGCAGGCAAGAGCCTCCTGCTGCTGGCGCTTTTCGCAGTGGCTTATCTCCTAGTGGAACTCTCAGTCTCCACTTTCCATTCGTCCCAAGGAGCCGGCCTGGCCAGGGAGCGGTGGCAAAGACAGCTCGCTGACTCTGGGAAAAAGGCAGAGGAAGATTTGTCTCGCCCGCTTTATGAGAAGCCTCCCGCGGATTCCCATGCCTTGGGAGAATGGGGCCGGGCCAGCAAACTCCAGCTCAGTGATGGCGAGCAGAAGCAGGTGGAGGAGCTCATTGAGAGATACGCCATCAATATTTACCTCAGTGACAGGATATCCTTGCACCGCCATATAGAGGATAAACGAATGTATGAGTGCAAATCCAAGAAGTTCAACTATAGGAAACTCCCCACCACCTCTGTCATAATAGCTTTCTACAACGAAGCCTGGTCGACCTTGCTCCGCACCATTCACAGTGTATTAGAAACTTCCCCTGCTGTCCTTCTGAAGGAGATCATTTTGGTCGATGACTTGAGTGACAGAGTTTATTTGAAGACACAGCTGGAAAGTTACATCAGCAATCTCGACAGAGTCCGCTTGATTAGAACCAATAAGCGAGAGGGCCTGGTGAGGGCCCGCCTGATTGGGGCCACATTTGCCACTGGAGATGTCCTCACTTTCCTAGATTGCCACTGTGAATGTAATTCTGGGTGGCTGGAACCACTTTTGGAAAGAATCGGTGAGGATGAAACAGCAGTTGTTTGCCCTGTTATAGACACTATTGACTGGAATACTTTTGAATTCTACATGCAGACGGGAGAACCTATGATTGGTGGTTTTGATTGGCGTTTAACGTTCCAGTGGCATTCTGTCCCCAAACATGAAAGGGACCGGCGGTCTTCCAGAATTGACCCTATCAGATCGCCCACCATGGCTGGAGGACTCTTTGCCGTCAGCAAGAAGTATTTTGAGTACCTCGGAACCTATGACACTGGAATGGAAGTGTGGGGAGGTGAAAACTTAGAGCTGTCTTTCCGAGTGTGGCAGTGTGGTGGTAAGTTGGAGATCCACCCGTGCTCCCATGTGGGCCATGTGTTCCCAAAACGGGCACCATATGCCAGGCCCAACTTCCTACAGAACACTGCTCGGGCGGCAGAAGTGTGGATGGATGAGTACAAGCAGCATTTCTACAATAGAAACCCTCCAGCAAGGAAGGAAGTCTATGGTGATATTTCTGAAAGAAAATTGCTACGAGAAAGGCTGAAATGCAAGAGCTTTGACTGGTATTTGAAAAATATATTTTCAAATTTACACGTTCCAGAGGATAGGCCAGGGTGGCATGGAGCCATTCGAAGCACTGGGATTTCTTCTGAATGTTTAGATTATAATTCTCCAGACAACAACCCCACAGGTGCTAAACTTGCACTGTTTGGATGCCATGGCCAAGGAGGAAATCAATTCTTTGAATATACTTCTAACAGAGAAATACGGTTTAATTCTGTGACGGAGTTGTGTGCAACAGTTCCTGAGCAAAAGAATTACGTCGGAATGCAGACTTGTCCAAAAGATGGGCTCCCTACACCAGTAAGCATTATTTGGCATTTTAAAGAAGATGGAACCATATTTCATCCACACTCAGGAATGTGTCTCAGTGCTTATTGGACACCTGAGGGCCGGCCTGACGTACAAATGAGAACTTGTAATGCTCTTGATAAAAATCAGATCTGGAGATTTGAGTAGTAAGAGCATACAGACAGTATCTTTATGAAAATCAGCCTTGGTGAAAATGGTGTTTCCTCAGAAATCACCTACAAGATATCGGGAGCGCTCTGTTAAAGCTGTGGTTTGTTTTGAGGTGTTGCACCAAAACTGAGCCCACACCATGCTGCTGTTTAACATTTGAAAGTGCCTTACTTAGGAGTGGATTTATTTAAGACCTTTGTCAATGTGGCCCTTGGTATATGCTCAAAGAAATGACTGTGAATTGACATGCACAAAACATTTAAGTGCTAGCCTTGCTATTAAAGAATGTGAAAGTCTGCACATAATGTAGCATGGTTTATGGTGGTGGGTGGTCCACTGTTTACCCTATTTAAAAAATGAAAGGGTATAAATGTGTAGTTTGAATGAATGCTATTTTGATTATACAGAGAACTTAAATTTTATTAGCCAGATCTTTGGACTTTAAATCTTTTATTAGATTAAAATATCTAATTTTTTTTAATCAAGTAGAAATCAAAGAAAGTTGACTTGATGGGAAAAGGCCTGCTTTAGATCTGTGTGTCATTGGAAGAGGGCATGAGTTAGATTGTGAGTTTGCACATCTTTTTTGCCATATAGACATCTCAAACATACCTAAATGTAAGAGAAATGAGGGGATACTTTTACATTTAGCACTCGGTAAACTTGAGCTGTTGGACTGAATTGATCTATATTGATACCTCAGACTGCTGATTTTATTAGCTGTCTTCTCTGTGAATTTGTGTGTTTGGGACGTTTTCAGATCGTACTTTCTTGAGTTATAGATGTATTGGAAAGGAACTTCCTTAGAGTAATGTACCTCTTTTTGTTAATGTTTAATCATGTAAACACAGTTAAATACAACTGTATGTGCTGAAATGTGTGAAACTGAAAGTGGGCCAGGGTCTACAAGGGCTGCAGCACTCTCTATGAGTTCTTGTTGATTAGGAACTTTTAAGTATTTATTTTAATAATATGCCAAGGAAAATAGAATGCCTTGGCAACTGGGAAAGCTGCTTTCCAGTTCATTTTCAGCACTTAGTGCTAAGGCTGCCATTTAGACAGTAGCTTTCAGTAAATGGTTAACTGACTGAATGAAAGAATGGCCCAGCTGAAGATTATAGTTGAGTTGATTAATGTATTTGGGTCTCATTTTCCTCATCTGTAAAATGAGGGTGCTGGATTAGATCTCAATGCTCCCTTCCCTTTCAGCTTTGAAATATGATTGGATGTCATTCCTGTCTCCAATTAGATCATGGTGCAATCTCTGTCACACTTTTTGATCTCTTCATTTTCAACATTGGTATTGGTATGAGCCATAAGGTATAGTCCAGTTAGGAAGTTGGAGAGGACATAAGTTTAAAAACTTAAGTCATCAGAGCTCTACAAAAGTTGTTGAATATGGGTATAATGTTATCAGTGTTTATTATAATTTCACTTTGATAAATGTTGAGTCAGTTTTACTTTTAAAACTTTTCAAATACATATATATTAGTCTTCACCAATTTTATTCTAGTTTTATAGCTGAAAAATCATAGGATTAATTTAGGCTTAACTCTTAATTTTTATCAAATTTGTTTGATCAAAATTTATGGAACATTATGCATGCACCATAAAATGTTAATCCAAAGTTCTTTTTAGTGTATGTTTAAGGATGTGAAGAGTAGGGACTTTGTAAAAAGCAAATTTAAGAAAAAATTTGAGCATAACTATCTTAAAAAAGAAAATGAATTTTAAGCTTGCATATTTTGTTTCTCCTTTGCCTCTTGAAATGAAGATTAATAGTTTCATAAGTTATCCATCACCCTGACTGGTTTTCAAAGAATGGTCCAGTTCCATATGCAGTGTGTATAACTTTAAGTGTAATTTAAGAATGATTTCTAATATACTTCTGAATTTTTCCAAATATTTAATTGGCAGCAAGCTGTCTCCAAGCCCATCCATCCTCTTCTTTGGGTTTGGTTTTGTTATATATTAAAAAGAAATACTCA